TAGAATACATGACAGAAATAGAAAACAAAAAATACCAAATAAGTATAAAAATCATGACAATTTCTCTGAATGCCTGGATACCTATCGGATACATTTACATAAATTTGTGGATTCAGAGATACTTTTATGAGTATTTTTGATTATTTAACTGCTAATTTTATAAACCTGAGGATCGGACTACCTTTAAAGCACTTTATTTATTATTTACAACAAAGTTATTAAAATGCCCACTTTTTATAATAGCATGTAAATGTAAATTGGACCATGCCTCAATTTACAATATGAACTTCACCATGCGACCCCCCCCCCCCCGCCTCGGTATGATTTTATTTTTATCTAATATGATATATAATTTATCTTATATGATAAACATTTACCTTCATTTTAATCATCTTATTTATAATGATTTCGTCAGATTCCGAGGGATTCACCACCAGGCTTTCAAGTTGTCCTGGATCCACTGGAGACTTCAATGCAACCTCCAGACCCCTGCCTTCTACTCCCCCCCCCCCCCCCCCCCCCCCGTTATGACATTTACCGTTCACAAAAAATATCTTTTATCTATTTTTATCATAAGATGATGTATTGATCGAATAGTATAGAAATTCAAAGATTTTTGATATTCTGCTTCATTGGTATTATGTACTCTACCATTAGATAAATGCAAATATTTTTTGGTAAATTGTTTGTAAGGTTTGAAATTTCTGTATCGAACGGTACCAAGTTTTAAGGTTAATTTCATGAGATTGAATATCATTATATACTCGTAGTTCAATTTTTGCAAGGCAGGTAAGACTTCTAGATCAAGGTCATGAAAAAATTTCATTTTCTTAAAGGTGTCATAGGTAATGTTAAGGCCATGTGTTCTCATTAAAAGCTTATTACCAATATAGAAGGCCGCCACTGAAGCGCGTGAATTAGTCGAGTTTTCGCGCCGTGAAAGGAGGTGTTCGAACACGGCCACGACTGACTTTATTAAAAAAAAATTATATGTAGCACCTGCTCCTTCGCCTTGAGTGCTAAACACCGTGAAGTGAAATGTGTGGGTCTTAAGAGGATGCTCACTCCTCCATGGCACCTGATCCCACCTCTGATGTTTCGGAGGTCCGTGTTTGCTCTGCTCCTAATTTGTATTGTTTTATGGACTTTGAAATTGAATACTGTTAATTATTTCCATATCCCTCTTAAAAATCGAGACACTCTTTCACGGTAGTCGTTTGCACGATAAAGAACCCTCACTGCATGCTCAATGGTCCTAGGTGCCGAGTGAAGGTTTAAATATCAAAACCCTTCACTTCACTATAAGAGTTATAAATTCCTAAATGGGCTCTAAAACAACATTCAATCAATCGATCAACCAATGTAGAACTTGTAAAAGGAAGGTTAAAATTACACATCATGAGGTCATAGTCTCATAGTGCTTTTGGAAAATTCTTGCACACAAAATGCACACAAGAAATATAAATGTCATATTTTCTCCCATTCAAAAATTATGACCATGATAAAATACTTGTGTTCTAAAGCAGGTCAAAGAGGTAAAGCAACGAAGTACCGAAATCGGTCCCTTCATCGAATCTTGAAGAAAAATCAAGTGTCTTTCATTAAATGTTATGCAGTTTCCCTTTTATTTCCTTCTACCACCTGCTTTTATCGCATATTAAACAGTTTTGATCAAACAAGATACTTGTATTGCATTATAAAAGTTTCATTTGTCAATTTGGTGGAAAGTGAATTAAATTCTTTTGAAGTCAAGACATGGGGTTAAAAAATCCATATGTGAAATATCCTAAGAAAGTTAATATATATTTTTTATTCAAATAGTATATCAAAATTTAACTCTCTTTTTGACAGATAGACAGATAGGCAAATGAAATGCCCCTCTTTGCGAAAATGAGAGACTAAAATTATCAGCTTAATTTCCGATCGTCCTATTTGCCATAAAGCACGAGTCTTCATCTTTGAAAACAGGGAATAAGATGATTGCTGAATGAAACATACTATGGTGGCATATTTCTGCCCCTACATACAAGATAAGTTACGTTCACATGCAACATAATTATGTAGACATGCAACATATTTATGTCAACATGCAAGTTAATTATGCTGACATGCAAGTTACTAATCTTATAAGAAAATATAATTTTAATATGGGTAAATTTACTAACTTACGCCGGTATCTGACATTGTAAATGCAAGATGCAACATTACTATGTTGACATGCAACTTATTTATGTCAACATGCAAGATGATTATGTAAACATGCAACTTATTTATGTCAACATGCAAGATATGTATGTTGATATGCAACTTATCATCTTGCATGTTGACATTAATATCTTGACATAAATAAGTTGCATGTTCACATAATTATCTTGCATGTTAACATAAATAAGTTGCATATCTACATAATTAATCCTCATGTTGACTTAAATATCTTGCATGTTAACATAATTAAGTTGCATGTTGACATATTTATCTTGCATGTTGACATAAATAAGCCGCATGTCTACATAATTATGTTGCATCTTGCATCTACGATATCAGATACCGGCGTTAGTAAGTAAATTTACCCATATTTAAATAATATTTTCTTATAAGATTGGTAATTTGCATGTCAACATAATTAACTTGCATGCTGACATAAATATGCTGCATGTCTACATAATTATGTTGCATGTTAACATAATTTATCTTGCATGTAGTGGGTAGAAATATGACACCATTTTAAAGTGATGTTTTACCAAACCTTTCTTTTATTTTGACGTTGGCCTATTTTCTTAATGTATCAGAATCTTTGATGTAACAGTGAGTGTTCTACTTCAAATCATCAATATCCTTAAAAAGAAACAATAATAGCAATCCCTCAATGACAGTCCATAAATTATGGGATTTACGTAATCCCTCTCCCCTTTAGTGTAGAATGGTCACATATGTCTGGACACTCTCTGTTACAATGGTTAGGTATTGAAATGAGGATTAACTTTAATAAAAGAGGTAACATGCTGGAATTATTACACGAAGTATCTGTAGATTTATAAAGAATTATAAAGAATGAAAAACGCCCATGTATTTGTTCTTTTATACATCATCTTAATGCAAAATCGGTTTGAACTTTAACTTTATATGATATTCTTCTTTTTAAAATTGATCTTAAGTCAGTTCTGATAAAGCTTCTTTGTTTGAAATTAGAGAAAAAAAAATAGATTTTTGGTGGTTCACATTGGATAGATTGTATCACCCTTAATTCAAATAAGCATCTTCATCATCAAAAACTTTCCTTTGATCTAAAATTTCAACGTTTATAGGTCAAACATTTATTAAATAGGCAAAGATTGTGTTCGCATTCAACTTATCAAAGTCATTTTGGACATCTAAAACAATGAGAAAAAAATTCAATAAACCAAGAGGTTGACAATTTGAAAGCAGTGTTTTGTGGAGATGTAAATTCGTGCGTAAGGGTGACCTTAGAAATCAACGAACATTACTCCCCCCCCCCCCCCCCCCCCCCCCCCCCCAGTCCAACATTAACAAAGACGGTTCCAAAGAAAAGTGATCAAATTGATACTAAATTATTAATATGATTGAGAAAATTAAGTTTTAAATTCTTACTAGTCCTTGCTATCAACATTTCCCATTAACCCATGATAGACAAGATGTCAGGTTACAGAGTGTGAGTAGTTTGTCAATCCACTGAGGAAGAGTACATCGTATCTTTGCCTGTTTATAATAGTCTCATACATGTATAAGTCCATTTTTTTGGAGAACATGACCGGTTGACAGGTATGCTCACTCATCTTTGGCACCTGATCCCACCTCTGATGTTTTAAAGGTCAGTGTTTGCTCTAGTCCTTATTTGTATGGTTTAATGGACTTTTGAGCTTGAATACGGCTTGATGTTTCTAACAGATATCTTTCATGCAAAATATGGTTTCTAATGTAAAGCACAGTTTTGGTGTCTCTAAAACAGTCTTATTTTTATACCAATTTAATTACTCATACGTAAATTTCCAGGTTCCAGTAAACTGAAGATCATTGATAGATTTGTTATTCAAAGAATCTAAGGAGAGCAAAGATACCTCTATGGAACAAAAATTTATTCACTCATTGACATGTTTGAAAAAATTCAATTTCTACACCAGATCTTTTTATTGTCTTCATCATCGTTTAATTTCTAATCATCTTCATCATTGTCGTCGTCGTCGTCATCATCATCATCTTTGTCAAAAAGAGCAAACAAATCCTGCAATGAGAAAAACAGTGTGATAAATACAAAGCAATTACCAGCAGGAAACCTGCATATGGTTAATCTTTATTAACGTTTGTACAAAAAATGCTTCTTTATTTACACACCTGCTCAATCTGCATTGTAATATATTCACAGTTAATAAAAATTTGATAATTACAACACCATTTATTTTGACATTATTCGTATAAAATCTTTTAAACAAAGAATCAAAAGTTGTAGCCTTTGTTTTCTTTGTTAGCAAGTTGTTAGAACACTTATTTCATTCATGAATATTCAACTCAGTTAAAGTATCGAAGTTTCTGATTTTAAGTAAAGCATTGATAAATATAGATTAATTGATAAATATTAACTTTTTCAGTATTATAGACATGTAGAAATAAGTATTCTAACGAAGCAAAAAATCAAACAACTCATTTCCTGGTATAACAAATATTTTATTGTATGTTTAAAAAATGTTTGTTTTGATTTCACTAATGTCTGGTAATCAGAAACTTCGATGGACAATTCATTTGATTCTTTAACAACCTGAAAAAAAAATACATAAAAGAATCAATATATTCAGAGACCATTCCTTATAAAGGTTATACCTAAAATAATGATAAAACAAACTTGATAAATTGAGTTGTATTGATAAGAAATGCATTAACTTAAATTATAAACATACATGTATATATATATATAATTAGAACAAATGAAAGATTCTTGTTTTCTTTTTACTGAAAAAAAAGATGATCTTCAATTAATTTTTTGGGATATAGATATAAAAAGTTTATACAAAAATTACATACTTTGTATTTCCATATCTTTATATTATTCTTCTCCAGGCGTTAAAGTTGTAAAATGAAAAGGAGGCGTTGTTCCCAGCAAAGGTTGAGTGGTAAAATCCATCGGGTCAAAACAGTCATCCTCGGTATATTTGATAACTCCGTCTTTGCCACAAAATGCCGAAACACATCTATGGCCGGATCTTGTCTTCAATTCAGCTATCTCGACTCCAGGTGGATAAAAATTACCGGATCCTGGGGCGGTGCACCCTGGTGGTAAAGGTGGCGCTGTTACAGGTCTTTTTGTGGTCGTAGGGGGTTTAGGGGGAAAACCTGATAATACACAATCCTCCTCCTTATAGATGATAACGCTATTTTCGCTGCAGTAAGCCAATTTACATTTTTCACCGGATTTTGTTTTCAATTCCGGAATTTCCATACCAGGTGGATAAATTACGTCAGATCCGGGAACAGGGCATCCATAAATTGGATTCTTTGTTGTTGATTTCGGTTTTCGTGTGGTAGGTTTCGGTTTTTGTGTTGTTGGTTTAGGGGGATTACTTGATACTTCACAATCTTCCGCCTTATATACGATGACGCTATTTTCGCTACAGTATGCCGATTTACATTTCGTCGATAATTCTGGAATTTCCATGCCAGGTAGATAAACAACATCAGATCCTGGAACATGGCATCCATAAAATGGATTCTTTGTCGTTGGTTTTGGTTTTTGTGTGGTAGGTTTCGGTTTTTGTGTACTTGGTTTTGGCTTTTGGGTGGTAGGTAACGGTTTAAGTGTTGTAGGTTTCGTTTTCTTTGTTGTAGGTTTCGGTTTTCGTGTCGTAGGTTTTGGTTTTGGTTTTGTTGTTGTAGTCGGTTTTCTGGTGGTCGTTGGTTTAGGTTTAGGGCGACGCTTTGGCAACTTTACCTTATTCTTTTTGCATTTGCATTTCTCCCACTTCTTCTTCTTTCCATAGAGACACTTGAATTTAAAGCATTGCTTTTCTATGAAAAATCTCCCCTTGAAATGCTCCCGTTGGTTCAGCTTTATTCCTATCAAACAACAAACTCCTTTCTTCGTACGAAATTTCATAACACATCCGTCATCGTCGCGAGGTGTCGATGCAGTTATGTTGTTGATCAAAGAACTCGCTTCTTGGCATTTTTCATTCATTTGATTTGCAGAAACGGGAAGTGATATAATGCAAAGAAAACTCAGAATGCAGACGCCAATGAATAGTACTGACTGCGTCTGCATCTTGAGATAACTTATTATTTGGGATGGCAGTGTTCAAATTTATAATCATATTATTGCAAGATGTTGTCTTTCTAATCCACTTTTGACGTATGGATTGTTTTAATTCCCTCTTTGTCCCTCTCCACCTTTCATCCCACATTCTGTCTTTTAACAGAAACATAAAACTTTTTCCTTCAATATATAACAGTTCTTTATTACGATATCTTTGAAGTTCTGAAAAGATATGCGTCAATTCGTTAAATACGTACCTACACGTAAACTTAATGGGAAATGTAAATGCAGTCAATATCTGAAAAAAAAAATCCCAGTTTTTAAGTAACTCGGATTCGGTTTGTAAAATGACCTAGGATTATGACCAAAATCAATAATATATTTCCTGCGTTCAGTTCGTATCTGCATAATATTTTCTTTAAGAGAATTATAATTCGAGTATTTAATTTTCTTATGCTAAATTTTTAAAAGTATCTGAGATCCGTTTTAAAAATTGAATTACAACTAAGTTCAAAACAATATTTAATAAAAATATTCTACATTAATAGTCTCGCTTATAAGAATATGAGAAATATTTTCAGTCCTATGGAATTTGGAAAAGTTGTTTGTCTTTCCTTTTGAAAAACACGGCCCTTATTCTTATTATTTAGTTCTTAGCAAAATAAATAGTTTTCAACAACACGTAAGTACATGTATCTATATATTAATCTGTTCATATAATATAAAATTAGAAAATTGTATTGCAAGGGAGGTAACTCCTACAATTCATTATTTGGGCGTGGCTATTTCTTGAGGGCGTGTTCATCGATGCAACCTTAGATTCGCTTCATCGGTTCATTAACCAACGCGAGTAATAACAATTACTCCGATTACAAATAACCAAACGACCTATGACGACCAGTGACATGGAAATCTTTGAATACCGGAAAGCCAGATGAACTGGATTCTTTTAAATATTTTATTTGAATATAAATAATATACATTTTTATAATTTGCAAACCATTATGTTAAAAAACACAATATTTATTACACTCAAACAACCACTGTTTTTTTTTAAAATGCCTGATTGGGTAAGATTTCATCCGATAAAGCAATGTACCGAGGACAATGGCTCTTGTGATTTGTTTACACGGATCCTTATAGTGTTTATCAATACGTCAGTCTAGCGTATTTCTAAAGATGCATCGAGTGCAAGATAGTTTTTAAACAAACAACTCTTCTTCAAAATATAGTGCCATAACCATTCCAGTCAGTATATATAAAGGAAATGTATAAAAGTCAAATGTCACCATATTTTATATTCAGACCAATTCATTTTAGTCTCCTTTTGACATCGATCGACATTTAGATGTCAAAGATTCTGAAAATTCACCAGCTGAAAAAAATAGGCTCGAGGCTATGCCCCAAACCTTAATTTGGTCTAGGAGTAGCCTTTGAACTTCTGCCCTGTATTTGCTTCCAAATCATAAACCTCCTATAAGGACGCCAATATCATAATACAATGTACTTCTACATAAAACATTTGGGGATAACTTTTTAGAGGATTGAAAATCTCAACATAACGGTACTTATAGATTTCTTAAATATTTGTTTTTGAAATACTGTATGACGACACTAGATGACTATCAATCGGTTAAAAAAGAGTAGAGAGAGAGAGAAGGAGAGAGAAAGAATGGTGAAAGAAGAATAAGAGAGTAAGTGTGTGAATTGGAGGGAAGGGAGCGTGAGTGAGGAGAAAGTAAATAAATGATGAAGGAGAGGAAGAAAATGAAGAGGACAGAAGAGATGGAGAACAAAGATGGAAGTGGAAGGGGGGAAGAGGAGAGCAAATTGCAAAGACAATCCGAAATAAAGTAATTTAATAAACAGAGCAAACAGGGAATCTGAAAGAACCGTGCGTGGGATAAGGTAATAACATAGAAAAAGAAGCATCCGTGTAGACCTTTCAAACGGTCATAATCGGGTAGAGAAGAAAAAGAAATTCATATTCAATATATATATTGAAAATAATACTCTGATTATTTGTATGAAAAACGCCAGTCTACATTTGTAAAACGAGAAATTGTTTTTGCAACATGACTATGGCAATTGTTGATCCTAAAGATGATAGTTGTTGACTTTTATAATTCACTGATTTGTCGAAAGTCTGTTTCGGTTTAAAAAGTATTTGCATGAAGATCATGCTATTGGTACTGAACAAGTTGGAGACCAATAGTCATTAAAGCTATATTGAGTCAAAAATAAGAAACGATGACGATAGAAAAGTTTAAGCTATCACATTGATCAAAACATTTAGTAATTAGTATAATCAAATATGATCAGGTTCCACTGAGTCTTATTTGGAGTTCAATTAGGTGTAAACTAGAAACATAGATTGGGTGAAATGAAAAATATGGAGATAAAGAACAATATTCAAGCTCTAATGACCATTAAGCAATACAAATTTGGAGCAGAGCTATCAAGGACCTACAAAACATCAGAGTTGAAATCAGGTGCAGTGGAGGGGTGAGCATCCTCTTGTTTCATCCACTTGCATGTGAATAAACCACCTCGTTTCAGTAACTGTTCATAAATAGAGCGTGTTCTTGCCTATCAATTTTACTGAGATATAAACCCCGTATGCAGGTGATAAAGGTATATTGCTGGATAAGTAAGGGAAGCTGACGATTGAAAAGTTAAAGTCGTCACGCTTATTTTAAAGCTTGGTTGTTAGATTACCATTATCATCTTTTTCAAGTAAAATATCCAAATATGAAACAATTATGTCAGATTCTGTGGTATATATTTATTTCGAGTTCACCGGGATATATCGTGTCAACATAAGAATGGAAATAACAATTGTTCATTGACATTACATGGTCGATATATCTAAATATCCAGTTGATGGCCAAAGCAATTGCTTTCTTCCTTTCTTGTATAAGATTTTAGACAAATTCTGCTTCACATGAATACAAAAATAGGTCTGCTAATAACAGGACGTTTGATGACCTGGTCTTCAAAAACCACATAGATATTATCATCAGAGAACCCTATAATCTTGTTAAAATCAACTTCAGAGTACTTGTGTGTACTTTCAGATTGTTTTTTTTAAATAACTTTGCAAATGATCAATGACAGGGTTAGTAAATAAATGATTTCCACTTTTATTTTAAAAAGCAGATGCCAATGATATAAAAAAAGAAGCCTGGACTTAATTTTATCGTGGGGGTGGTTGTATGTAAAGTTGAGAAGTCGAGAGTTTTTATGTTGTTGGTTTTGGTAAAAATTTTCAAAAGTGCATTAGAATTGTTAAGTAAACCACTTCTCGAATATATTGTTGCACAGTACTCCTGAAGTTTCTCCTTCATTACTGTAATATAAGAAAATATTCATTGTTAAAGACCTCATGGATAAGCGTTATATATCAAATTGAATGTCCCAGCCAGGGAATTCTTCATAAGAATACAAGCATTTTCCAAGCATTAACGTCAAAAAACGTCGTACCTCAATAACGTGTGTTTCAAATAATTTCGATAGCCTAGTATACTCTTTCCTACGAAAAAAATCTCTTAAAGGATTTTTTAATATGTCCACGTTTTACCTCTTTTAATATTTTATAAACACTGCAATTTTAAAAACAACTACTTTTGAGATTCACTAAAATGAGCGTTACAGTTGTCATAATACGAAGAACATGTTTCGGTTCCATTATATTTTACTGTACGTTTTTATGTTTTAGATTGAAAATGCCAAAAAAAAACCCACTAAATACAGAAGTATTTTACTATAACGTCTTAAAGCTTTGCCCTACTGCCATTAGGTATAGTTCCTTTTTAAAGATTTCTGATTGATAAATTATTTTTTCTATATCTTTTACACAGTCCGTTTCTGATTTTAATCATAGCTTCTGTATTCTATTTGATATTGATTTTTAAAGAAGTGTTTGAATAAAATGTTCCTAATAATTAATCAAAATGTAATTTAATGTCTCTATTATAGAAATATGAAAAAGTTGGTTGACATGTTATCCCTCCTGACAAGAGAAATATAGCATTTACTTTATGGTTTCAATGTCAAGTGATTGACAGTAAGCCTTTTTTTGATAAAGCGTGACATATTTTAGAACAATTATTAACATATTATCGCATGAAACTTCAAAACAGTTATGTTCGGACACTAGTATTTTCTAGTTGCTGTTTTTATAGAGGAGATAAAATAGGAAGAAAAACCTGTTGCTATGTTTTATATAAAAATCTTTTGAAATTTAATCAAATGTCAGTATCAGCAAATATGTTCAATAAAACACAAATTCTGAATCATGAAAAAACTAAAAACTGTAAATGTATTTGATGATATTTGAAAATCTGATAATTTAAAAGATGATAAGAATTATAAGGACGTGAAGTCCATCAATACATTACATTTTGTCATGTTGAAAATTTTTGAACTCACCAGATGGCAGTGAATACAAAATTTACAACATGACAACTTTTGTATTTACTGCAATTTGGTAAACATGACAATTTCCTGAAGAAATGAATGTCAAAATAGAAGATAAATATGATTCAGAAATCTTGTTTAAAGTCAGCATTTCGAAAATTCCATGGTCGATATAATGACTCGTCATGCAGCAAATACAATATTCTATCATCAAGTCGAATACTGATTGATAATATTCGTACAAATTGTAAGATCATTATTTACACACTGAATTGTTCATGGAATTTTTTGATTGCCAGATCATGACAAGGAGAACACACCGGTTGTGACTGTCGACAGTAGATGATCCACTTCTCTATGGCACCTGATCCCACTTCTCTGATGCTTTTGAGGTCTGCGTTTGCTCTAGTACCAATTTGTAATGTTTAAGGGTCTTTAGAGCTTGATTATACTTCCTTTATCTTCATATTTCATTTAAATACGTCATAATTCAAAAGATTTTTTCATATTTAAATATTTTTCTTTATCAATTATTTTTGGGCACTAGTATAAAAACCAAAACAGCGACTCGGCGGCAGCATCATGTCAATATTTTAATAATATGCTAGAAAATTTGCCGTGTTTTATTGATTGCGAACTTGCATGATATAGTTGATCTTTGAAATATATAAAAGCAAACAATAAATACATTATCTATAAAATATTATTTATATCAATCAAATAATACTTCAAATACAATAATGAACTAAATGAAAGATTACATTTTTAGTCTGATACACAAGTGACTAAGGATGCTACTCTTAATGCGCATATTAACATAACTTCACTTCCGGTTAAAATGGCATTAGAAAATA